TGTTGTTTTTATAAATAGTCTACAATATTGAATGCGAATGTATCGAAAATACAGGACAGATGACTCGACTGTGTAGCTTGAAGAAAGAAATATCTTACACGCCCGCCCGCACACACACGCAAAAGGCTGACTAATCTTTCACAAAGGGATTATATGGGTTCTCACCCTATCTTCTTTTTTAAAGAAAGAAGCCTGCAAAAAATAAAGAGAACAAGAAAACTGGGGGAAAAGAGACGACTGTTAAAATAAAACTTACACCCAAAACCTACCAGTGAGCCTCCACAATCCGCATTGATGTTAAAATTATTTTTTTAAGAAAAAAGTAAAGAAACTAACTCCCCACTTTTATTTTCTTTATAAATTATAAGAAAAATATTGACAAAAGGATATGAAGTTATCTTTTTTTTCTTTTTTTTTTTTTTTTTATAATTTGAAAATCTTACAGATTTTTAGACTAAATTATTAATAATGAATTAGAGCCCGTTCCCAAGTTTTTACTTTATTAAAAAAATGTCTATTTACGGTAATATTTTAAAATTCGTGTCCTTCCATTTTACTTAGTTTTTATTTTATCCTCTTTCTTTCAAGTCAAATGTTTTATGAGAAAAGTGTTTTAAAATCAGGTGATGGAAATTTTTCCGATACAGATTTTTAGTCCGAAGCCTGAGAATAAAAAAGGTTTGATAAAAATGCAACTATTCTTGGCAGGCTTTAGTCTCTAAATTCAAACAAAATTGCCCCTTCATTAGTATGTAAAAAATAAAAATAAAATACCTGATATAGAATATTTCAACCATTTAAAGACTGACAGAAAAATAAATCTGTGTCAACTATTCTTTTTATTTTATCAAACCCGAGAATAGGACAAATAATCCTCATTTTGACATGAAAAAAATAACTGACCTGTCGATTTTCTATTTTTTTTTAGTAGGGGGAAGAATGTCCCAAGAATCTAAGAATAAATTTAGATTTTTATTTATAAAATACTGAAAAAGTGTATAAAGTGAAACTTTACGTAAAAAAGTGAACTCATTTTTTAAATTTACGAGTTTTGGTTCTGAATCCATGGTACAATACAAGGGTTCGGGTTTTTTTTTTAGCTAATATTTGGAGTTGTTTTTATTTTATTTATTTATTTTTTTTACAAGAAATTTAACTTATCACAGCATTAACTTTTAGATCAGTAATAAATATTTAGAGACTAAGCAAAAAAAGGGTGCATGCAAGAAAAAAAAACAAAAAAAACATACATTACAAATGTAATAATTGAAAAGCACAATCAATTTATTTATTGAACATTGAAATCATAAATGCATTTTTTCAATGTTTTTTACGAAATTGTTATAGCATCAACTACCACTTAGCAATTAAGCAAAATAATTTGGTAGTAGGGTAGAGAGAGAGTCAATCAGTATCACTCAACTAAAAATTTGGAAAAAAAAAAAAAAAAAGATTTTTAAGTTCATTTTTTTTTAGTAGCCAAGATAATACAGATGAAGGTTGAAGGGTTTCTCTGTTTACCACTATGTGACAATAGGGCAGACAATGTGAAATTAGTATTCTGGGTAGCGTCGACAAAAACATGAGGTTTTTGCCTGGTCTGGCTCTGTGCGCACCATATATGCCGACGAAGTATTTTTTTTTTTTTTTTTTAATTTTCAGCATTAAAAACTTTTTCGTTATTGTTTTAAATTTAAAAGCATAGAAAAATTCATATAGCAAAATGCTAACCCCTGAGATGATCTCCAGGGTCTTGTTTTAGGTTTGCCTCTCTAAAGGATTGACTTTCAAAAAAAAAAAAAAAAAAAAAAAGAAACAAAACGAAACCTGAAATGATTGTTAAAAATTTGATTATTGTTTGATTAGTGTGAAAAATGATTTTATTTTTGCGAACTCAAAAAAAAGAAAATACCGTCAATATTTAATGCATATTGAACCAAATTACTCCTGCTTTAGCTTTGTTAAACATTAAAAAAACGGTTACCGTTAGTGTTTACGGTAAAAACGTAAACCTACTCAACACACAATTGAAAAATGAATTAAAAATCATTTACATTTACTCACTAAAACTAAAAAGAAATAAGGATTTCACAAAATATACAGTTTGTACGATGTTTAAACGACGTTTGATGTGGTTGTTTAAACTAAAATAGGAATAACAACTAAAAAGAAAACCTATTTCAGATTTCTAGTTTCGTCTAAAAATCAGCTGTTTTTTTTTTTTATATATATATAAGAGATCTTACCACATGAGCTACTTTTATCAAGAGCCTTGATAAAAAGTAATAGTACTGTTGTTTTTTTAAGGCCATGTGAAAGTTCACATGATGAAAAAAAAAAACTAGTTCATAGTAAGTAAATAACTGCACAAAAAGACAGTTAAACTACCAAGAAATATTTTTGTCGAATGACCAACGAACACTTACAATTATTAAGCCGGGTTTACTCATTTTTCGAGATTTCCGGTTTGATTTTTATGTAAAATTGACACGCTTTTAGTTTTCTAAAACGCAAAATTTAGCAGAAAACTGGCGTCAACATTTCACAATACAAATTATATACAATTACAAAAAAGTTAAGGGCCATAGAACAATAAAACGGGTGCAGCACTTTGGGACCATCTACTATTTGCGATCGTGCGTGTGTTTTCGATTTAGTTTTATGAAATAAATGGGAGCAAGTTACATGCAATGCATTTAACAAATACGAAACTTCACATTTGATACGGATGAAACAATTAAATTACGAAAAATTTAACTTCAAGGTAGAGACTAGAAAGAGCAGGTGGACAGGTCCACACCCACCTGGCGGACCGGTACTTGTCACCACGGCAACGATTGATAAGATTCATAAAATGACTAATGAACAAAGATTTTTAAGACAAACATGACAGTCAAAGTTTGAAATACTTTCTTACATTTTTGGCTAGGAAGGCACATAACATGAAATTAAAATACTTAGTTACACTATTGTGTTGATACACGAATTCAGTGGTGTACACTACAGTATAGGACTAATTTAATAATGATTGAAAGATCTGAGACAACTTATACATGCTTCATAAACTTCGTAAATCATAATCGCAGTGTTTTACTTGTGAAAAAAAAAAAGAAAAAAAGAGAACCAAAACCAAAGTTCAATGTTAATATACCAGAGAATTATTTCAGAATTGTGAAAAACTATTGTTTTATAGAAGTTTGAGGTCGTTCCATAAAAATGTGTAAGCTTAAAAATGAAGAATGAATTATGCCCTAATTTACTAATACTGCAAAATAAAGGAAACAAAGTGTTTTTAAAGAGACAGTGAATTAAAATTACCAGAGATAAATTAATTTAAAATGAAAATGCGCATTGGAAAACACCGTAAAAACTAAAGTGAAAGTCAATAAAGAATGCAAGCTTTTTGTACAAATTTTGTAAACATTATGAAAAATATTTTTCTCTAACAGTAAAAAATAAATTGTTCGAAAAAGGTCACCTTAATTATTAACACTGAAAAATCAACACGAGTCTACACTGGATAACTTTATGACAAATGCTAGAAATTTTAAGGTTACAATAAATTTGAAATTAAACAAAATTTAACAGTAAATGCAATTTTTTTTTCTTTACTATGGACTAGTGTTTTTTTATATACTTGTATTAATTTGCATTTAATCGATTTTATCTCAAAATAGTAGAAACAAAAACATCAACTTAAAGTTTCGACAATTAATTTTAGAATTAATAACAAACTTAGAAAAATAATCAGTGTTTTTTTTTAGTATTTCCATGAATTAAGTTAAATTAAAATAATTTAACGAAGTCTAAAATGTTTTTTTACGGGAATTCATCACGAATTTTTTTTTTTTGAGATGTATATAAAAAATGGTATTTAAATTTAATTCAACTATGTAATGTATAAATTATTAGTTTTTAAAAGAAAGCTTGTCAACATAGGGAAACAATGTGACAATGTTTATATAGTTTTTTTTTAAACATGCAGACAGGTAAATTATTGTAAATGGCAAGAAAAAAAATGAGATAAGTTAAGCGAAGAAATTTTTAAATTAAATATTTTTTCGCAGGTTCGTTTGTTTGTATGGATAATAATTTGAAAATATATCTCCTGTGGATTTTGAAAAAAAGGAAAATCCATGAGATAAATTGAGAAACCAATCCTCTAAAGCAAAGTGGTTGTTTTAGAGACCGACTATTTACTGGCCAAGTTACGTTGTTTCAACTATTGCAATTGAGAGTGTTTGCATTGCTTATTCTCTATTTGGTGAAAAATAACCTTCTCTCTTTACAACTCTTATTCTTTCGTTCATTCGTTCGTTTCTTTTTCTTACTCTCACAATCTCTCTATACTTCTTTTTTTTAATCTCACTCCGCGTCTCTTCTTACTCAATCTTTCTTATTCCCTAGCTTATTGTTATGCGACCACTTTTTTCTTTCTATCTCTCCTCTCGCTCTCAATGCCTCTTTCGATTCTTCTTCCCCGATCACTCTTTTTTTCCCCACCCATCCTTCCTTCCTTGTTATGCATTGTTTTTTCTTGTATTTCTCCTGACGCCACTCCTCTCCCTCTCGCAAATCCCGCCTCCTCCTCTCTCATTACTTTTATGAAATCATCATCACAGTAAGGCCAGAGGTAGCACGTCTTAAATGGCATGCTTGCTTTGACAGGAAAGACGCGCCAATCGTGACCATATATGGTAATAGTACCACTTCCATATAAAGTTAAACTCTTCATATGAGAAATATTTTTCCTGGAACTCTTTCGTCTTTCTTACAAAATAGGCTGTTAAGCTATTGTGTGTGCGGCAGTATTTAAAGCGGGCAGACACCAATCTCCACAGTCTAGCATTTCACTCCACCGGACACACATCTCGGTTGGTCTGCTTTCACTTCGTCTGAAGACACTTAGACACAAGGCAGTTGTCACTTGCCAATTTTAAATTTTTTCTACTAAAAGTTTCTGTTGTTGTAGTTTTGACTACCTTTAAACCTTACAAATCATGGATGATGAAGTTGCTGCTCTCGTTATTGACAACGGATCCGGTATGTGCAAAGCTGGTTTTGCCGGTGATGATGCACCTAGGGCTGTATTCCCATCTATTGTCGGCCGTCCCCGACATCAGGTAAGAATGCTTTTCGCCTGTCTTTGTACTTATAAAAACCAATCTTCGTGATTTCTTAGTCTTGACGTTTTTCTTTTTTAAAAAAAAACTAAAAAACTTAAGGCTTCCTTTCCTGTAACTTTAAAACTTGTAATTTCTACAGTTGGGTTTTCTTCAAAGATGGGCGTTAACTTCACGGATACAACTTCCATGTGAATTTTTTTTTTTTTTTTTATAAAATTAGTACTTCTAAAATCAAGCTCTTTATTAGATTCGTGAAACGATATAACACTTGCGCTGCTTTCAAAGTTTTTCATTTTGAAGATTTCCTGTCTTACAATGACTGTTACTAATTTCTCCGTACTCTGCATTGTAATCTTATTTTATGCTTTAATAATTTAAAGCTATTTCTTTCACTTCTTTTATTGCAACTTTTTAATATTAACCATGAACTGAAATTAACAAGCATGTTATCGGGATGGTTACGACAGCCTTGAAAAATATAGCATGATTCTGCAGTTTGGCTGGCTATGGCCTTATATGGTATTGCACTACCATATATGGTCATTACCATGAATGGTAGAAAATGCCACTGTCTGCGTTCTGATTGGCTCTCTTAAAAGCTATCCTAGGGAGCGGCAGCGCTTTGCATATTTTTATGAAGCGTTGGCTGACTCATGGTGAGGTGGAGGAGGGAAACTTAAAGGCCGGTTTCTTAACTTGTACAACAAGCAATTTGACAATATTTCTGCTGTGCAATGTTTTTCTGAAGTTTTTCATAACTTCATTTTATATTTCCGCTTCTGCAACCATTTTAAGCTTATTAAGGTTCTACGTCACTCGGTGCCAAGTCTACCATCCATTTCCAAATATGGTCACAGAAAGTTCTGTGGGCGTGGCATTTTTTTTATGATCGGTGGGCATGTGATAATGGACTTAGCGTATTTTTTTAATATAATCAACCCTTTTAAGTCTTAATGATGTAAAAAAAAAAAAAAAATTTTTTTAACTGATGCTGGTTTGCTTACCTTACTAAGTACCTGTCGCAAGCAGGTGTGCCGATTTTATTGTCATCGGCATATTTCGATTTCACTTAATTTTTTTTTTCTCAATTTAAAAGAAAAATGACAATTACTGCTTTTCTGTGAAAGCAACTTGAGTTTGTTACCAAACTATCACTATTGATAAGTCACCGACTGTCACAGTTTAAACTACATTCACTGCTGTTAGTGGTACTGTTACTTCAGAAATACATTTTCTCCAAAACGAAGTTTACTTGCTTCCGATAGACAAAAATCTTTAACGTTAAAATAGTTAATTACTGATATATGCTATCTTGACATTGTTTTATTAAAAATTCTTTGTTCTTAAAACTAATCTTAATTCATAAGACCTACTTGAATGAAGTCTTCAGAACTATACTGAGTATGCGCAAAAAAAAAAATTAAATGTTTACCTTTTCAATATATTCTGCATTTTGGGACGCAAGACTACAAGAACGCTACTACCCCCCCACAAAAAAAAAATAATGCCTCTTGATACAAAATACTAAGTTCTTTTTTATTTCTCTTGTTCAGGGTGTGATGGTTGGTATGGGACAGAAAGACAGTTATGTCGGTGATGAAGCTCAGAGCAAGAGAGGTATCCTTACCTTGAAGTATCCTATTGAACATGGTATTGTCACAAATTGGGATGACATGGAGAAAATCTGGCATCATACTTTCTACAATGAATTGAGAGTTGCTCCTGAAGAGCATCCAGTTCTGTTAACAGAGGCTCCTCTTAATCCCAAGGCCAACAGAGAAAAGATGACTCAAATCATGTTCGAAACTTTCAACACCCCTGCTATGTATGTGGCCATCCAAGCTGTCTTGTCCCTGTATGCTTCCGGTCGTACCACTGGTATTGTCATGGATTCTGGTGATGGTGTCACTCACACTGTCCCCATCTACGAAGGTTACGCCCTTCCCCATGCTATCCTCCGTTTGGATTTGGCTGGTCGCGATTTGACCGACTACCTAATGAAGATCTTGACCGAACGTGGTTACTCTTTCACAACCACTGCCGAAAGGGAAATTGTCCGTGACATCAAAGAGAAACTTTGCTATGTGGCTCTAGACTTCGACCAGGAAATGCAAACAGCTGCTTCTTCCTCTTCATTGGAGAAGAGCTACGAATTGCCCGACGGTCAAGTAATCACCATTGGCAACGAGAGGTTCCGTGCCCCTGAGGCTATGTTCCAGCCATCCTTCCTTGGTATGGAATCTGCTGGCATCCATGAAACCACTTACAATTCTATCATGAAGTGCGATGTCGACATCAGGAAAGATCTGTATGCAAACACAGTGCTGTCTGGAGGTTCAACTATGTTCCCAGGTATTGCTGACCGTATGCAGAAGGAGATCTCTGCCCTGGCCCCAGCCACCATGAAAATTAAGATCATTGCTCCACCAGAGAGGAAATACTCTGTATGGATCGGTGGTTCTATCTTAGCTTCTCTTTCCACCTTCCAACAAATGTGGATTAGCAAGCAAGAATATGACGAATCTGGACCTTCTATCGTCCATAGGAAGTGCTTCTAAACTATCAACCTTTACAACCAAACACCACAATCACCACTACTACACAACAGGAATCTCTTAATTACTACGATTGAGGAAAAAAAATATGAAACACCAATAAATCTTGCCAGTTCCTGGCTTAACAACAAGACCAAATTCTTTAAAAAAAAAAAAAACAAAAAAAAATTTTTTTCTAAACAAGTGACATGTAAATAACTGCCAACGGACGAATCTTTAAAAACTTAAAAAGCAAGAAACTAAGAAAAACTAAAGCTGAATTGATTAAACATTCCAGGCTTTTTTGCTGACGTTTCTGCAGAAACCAACTGCAGTGTGTGACGAACCAACATCCAGAGACGGAGTGCCACCATATGTTGTCGTCGTGAAACCTTGTGTGAATGGCTAGCCTCTGCTACAACTTTAATGATTTCTCCAATGACTATATACATACATACGTACGTGTGTGTATGTATATATATATATATATATATATATATATATATATACACACACACACGTTAACTTTACCTCTTTCTTTAAAGAAAAAAAAAAAAAACACTACCCACCAGCGCTCTTATACACCATTTTGGGCATTAGGTGCGCTTATTGACTAGTTAGGACACGAACTGTTGGATTACTTTGGGCTACATCAGCCCCTCCCCACTTCAATTAACGGCACACTTAGGGCCAGCCTACAAGCTATTTAAGAAAAAAAAAAACACTACCCACATTACTTACATCCACCTTTTTACTAAAACTTTTTTCTTTTCAATCTTACTCGTGTGGAGATACAACAAGCGCTTTAAACTACGCTTGCGCCACAGGAGGACGCATTAGTGAGGCACAGGCGCCGCCTTACACATGTGGCTTTATGGCGATAGCCATATTGGTGCTAGTCTTTCTTTATAAGAAAACAAAAGTAAAAAAAAAAATAAAAAAAAATTCAAAAATTAATTTCAATTCTTTGTTTGTTATTTGCATGTGTGCATGACCGACCAGAATTTCTGGAAAGATTAATTCGTTCAAGGCTGCAATAATATTGGCTTTTTTTTTTTTTTTTTTTTTTTTTTTAGTCGTCTAACCTCTTTGCTTCTATCCACCACTCCTATAATAAGGCTGTGTCAAAAGATCTTATATCGCGCGCACACAGATCATTTATTCTAAAATTTGTTTTGCTAGTCTCAATTTTTCAATTGTGATGAATTTATCCCTATAAGCCACAGCTGTTTGAGGTTTCCTATATAGCCCCATTAAATTTAAAGTAAACTCTGGTTTTTCTATGGTAATTTTCTAGCCTGTCACCACAAAAATGGCCTAAGTCATTATGTCAGTTTTTTTTTTTTTTTTTTTTTTTTTTTTTTATTAAAAAAATGAAAATGGAATTTCATGCCTTTTTATAGGTGTAAAATATTGAAAAGTGAAGGTTTTTTACCTGGGTTTTATCATTACCTGAACAAATAGGAAACCTTTGATCTGAACCACCAAGAACCTAGGTATTTTCTGAAAGCAAAGGATTTCACTAAAAGTAAAAATTGGCTGGTGTAATGACTGAAGAAAGAAAAAAAAAAATTTTCAGGAGTAAATGTGAAAATGTTAAATTCTTAATGAGCTTTTTTTTTTTTTTTTTTTTTTTTTTTTTTGCCCGCATGTCTTTCGTATTTCCCATTGCCGGGCCATTCAGCCGTTCTTTTTTTTTTTTTTTCTTTATTCCAATGAGGTTTACACCTTCTATAAGGAGTGATATTATTTATATTTTTTTTTTTTTTTTTTTTTTATAGTGACTTTTTCTCAAAACTGAGCAATATCTTAATGCTAACCCCTGAGTGACATTTTTCACAGCCAAATCTAAGATTAATTACTAGTGAATAATTCCATGTGCAAATAACTCTGGATCCTATAACGTGCGCCGAAAACCTCCAGAAGTAATTGAGCTAAAACTTGTTGCGCATAATTTTTTTTTTTTTTTTTTTTTCAGTCAGTTTTCATTTCATCTTCATGTTGTCATTTTCTGACAGCCAAGTCATCAAGGATTAAGGAAAACAGTTTGGCACAGGTTTGTTCTAAGAACTTTACATTTTAGGTGTTTAAAATGTTACTGACGAATGGGATTTTTTTGCTGAATATTTACATGCCATGTTGGATTTTCCTATATGACAAAAACAAGGGTTTTAAACAGCAGTGAACCAGTTTAATTCAACTTTGTATATCCTTAAATAAAAAGCAAACTAAAATCAAGCAGACTTTATTTACACGAAAGTACAAAAACAAGTTTCCAACAATTTTAAAACTAGTGGAATCTTCATGGCAGGGGGCGTAGTATCAGAAAATAAATTTTTCTGTGTGTGGCCTTAAAACCAATTCTTTTAATTTCTTTTTTTTTTTTTTTTAAGAGAACTTATTTAAAATCTTTATTTAAATAAACAAATGAAATGATTTCAGTCGAGCTGGGTACCTGTCTTTTTCAATAAATGTTGTCCAAACTGTAAAGAGAGGAAAAAGATACAAGTTAACATCAATAAATTTATGTACATTTAAAGCTATAAAAATCTTAAACCTGTTTCTACCTTTCTAGAATTTTTTTTTTTCTCTTTTATTACCTATACTTTGTCTTGGTAATGAAAGCATACCTTAAATTTTAAGCACAGCAAAACCTAGAAACTCCACTATAAAAACGGACGGTCCTCGCTTAATCCGTTAAATTGAGGTTCCACTATCCGAATATTTAAAATGGAAACTTAACTCGTCTAAATATGTACTAAAAAGTATTGGTGTGGATCATTAAAGTTCAAATAGTTCTTTAGATCTCGCATTTCTAATTTTCTTTTTTCCTGTTAGTGTTTTGTCTTTAGTATATACCAAAAAAAAACAAAAAAAAACACTAACAATAATGGCCATCAGTGCAAGAAAATACACTTTTGGGGGTCAAGAAAGTATAGTGTTAATTCTTTCTTAGAAAATGTCAGTTGTATCTCCCATTACTCCCCCCCCACTCCACACACAATTTCATTCAGCATAAAAATAGTTTACTATTTATGCTTAGTGGCTGAATATATGTAGAAAAACTTCATATTTTAGTATTGTGAAAAGAAAATTGTCAAATCCACGATTTCTATAAAGTGTTTAAAATACTTATGAATCAAATTGATTGTAAGTGCTAAATACATTTTTGAGTAATCCTTTTCTGGGAGGAGAAAAGGGGGGCTTGCATTGTACAATACTAACCTGGGATGGAGTTGTAGGTGAGAGAGTTTTCAAAACTTTTCTGCTGCAATTTGGACTCACAGCACGACTACGGGCAAACTTTTTTCTCAAGGCATTTGCAATTATAGATTGTTGGTCATTAACATTACAGGGCAATGGCATTTGCCGAAGTGGAGTCCCTCCTGGCGATCTACAAATGATTTTAAAAAGAAAAAAGTCAAGTTTATGCAGAGTTTCTTGCTTTTAAAATGGTGTGTGAAAGCATTTATACCCCCCCCCCCCGCAAAAAAAAATCAAATTAAGTGCTCACCTAGCTACTGGCTTTAACTTGACACTGTTTAAATTTTTGAGGACATCTGCCATGGTTGGGGTACGGTTCTCATCACATGTTTGGTTTGTTGATGTGGGTTTAAGATCAGATTTTAAACAGCCAGCTGAAGCTTTCTAATTAAAAGGAAAAAAATAAGTACAATTAAGTTTGAACAAATTGTATGCTTTGTAAAATGGAAAAAGCTTGTACAAGAAAATGTTCTGATCCATTATTCGGTGCCCAACAGAGGGTGGTGAGGATAGTATTTTGTTGAATTTTTCAGGCCATTTAATTTTACATTTGTAGAATTCAAACAATTATAACCGTTTCAAGTTTTTGCACACTTTTATGGTATTCAATCACAAGCATGCACAAGTTGTATAACATTTTATTTTTTTACATTTGACTGCAATGTCATTCTTAAATGTGGGCTTTTTCACCATAAGTCATGGAGAAAATCGAGTTGTAATTTCTTTACTGGATTTTTAACCTTTTTAAATGATTTTCTGAGCACACCTTGTATATTTAGAAAAAAAAATACCTCTCCCTTGTACAGGCATCTAAGAATATATAAATTATGAATGCAAGTTTATCGACAGATGTCTCAAGAACCATTATCTATGACATACCAACACATCTTTTCCACTAAAAAAATATTTCCTAAGCATATCACTCATTTTAATGGTTTCAAAATGTATTAAGAAACAAATGAATTAGATGCTACGTTATCTACATTTGATTTATTAAAATATTCCTACAAGAAGCAGCTCTAAAATCAACTATCAGAGTAGATGTTCTGACAAATTTATTTTTAATTGTTTTAACCTTATAAAAAGGATCATGCTCCATTGCAGTAAAGTTCATCCATATTACTACAGAGTAATTATTGGAAAACAGCTTTAAATTATTTGTTTTAATTTAGAGTAAAAAAATTTTTTTACTATCTTACCTGCTTTATCAAGTCACCTATGGACATGAATTGTTTGGTTGACATATCAGGTGATGTTACACAGATAGAAGGTGGTGGTGGTGGTGGTGGAGGTGGAGGCAATAAACATGGGGGAGGGGAAGGAACTGAGCGGGAACAGGAAGACTCCATGGATGATTTTTCTGTCAAGATGGAAAAGTTTAAGTTTAAGAAACAGCTGATTTCATAAAATTATTTATTAAATATATAGGAAGTTTTACTGACAAGAACGAATGTAATCTTTATTTCACAGTTTTCCCAATGTTTCTGTAACAGTTGAATTGTTAAATGAATCTATTAGCGTAAAAAGCCTAATGTGATAACGAAAACTGGAATTCTTGTAAAATAGATACAAAAATGTTAGTGATTAATGGTAACTTAGATTTTTAAGTAAAAAATCTAGTAAGTAAATACAATATAAAACATCTCAAAGTAATACAAAAATATGAAGCAATATTCTGTTAAAACAAATTTTGGAAATTAAATGTCCTTTTAGCATGGAAGTCTGAAATTGGGGCCATAATTCAGATGTGCAAAAATGAAATTTTCTTAATATTTTAATGGCTCTGAAGAATTTACTTTCTAGAATTTGTTCCTGAGCAAGCACTCTAGATGCAGTCATCCAAAGGCATTGAAAAGGTGCTACAATCATTAATGATGTTTGGTTAACTTATTAATGAGCTAAATGATCTGAGGTACAATCAGTTATTCATGAAAATAATTTTGTTGATTTACAAACATGAATCTAATTCATATTCAAACAATAGAGAATACCTGGCTTCATCTAAAGCATTTTCTGAGAGAAAAAGGAAATATCTGAATATTATATAAGAAAAGAAAATGGAAAATATATAAATGATATGTAAATTTTAACTTGCGAATTATGGCCCCTGACCTAAAAACAAATGGCCCACATTAAGTTTAAAACTAGAAATATGAATTTTCTTTCAAATCCTTCACTTCATGTTTTCGAAAGCACTAGCAATGTTAGGATATATATATATATATAGTTACCAGATATTTTTGCACGCTATTTTTTTTAACTTGAATCAAAGAAATGCTTCATATCAAAGTGAAATTACAGTTGTCTTATTTCTTAAAACATTTAAATAACCAATTTTATTTAAGAAACGCTTACCGAGCACGTATCATGTGCAAACGAAACTGACATTTAAGAAAAAAAATTGAGGAATAATACAGGGGGAAGTAACTGTTGAAGCGGAAAAAGGAGTTATCTGCCTTTACAAAAATATATCTATTCAATTTCTATCTTCACTGAAAATTCTATACGCTTTTCTTTTTCTCGTAAAGTTCCCGAAATCTTTTTTTTTTTTTTTTTTTTATTATTATATAAATGAAGATCAGTATTTGACCCAGTTCATTAAATATATAAATCTTTTACAAAAATTAAAAACTGAATAAAAATACCTAAATTTTGTTTACACATCATTGCAATTTGTTCTTTAAGCTTTTCAATTTCAGTTTGCATTTCTTGAATTTTCTGCATAGCAAGTGGCATTTCTATATTAGGGTTGACAGCACAGCTCAATGGTGTGGAAGTAGTTACAGGAGCAGCTCCATTGGGATTACAATAGGTATCATTAAAACTATTTATCTTGGATGGTTTTGTATTAGCCCTAGAAAGATAAAAAGACAAGTTCACAATCTTTTTCTTTTTAAATAATTTAGAATAAAACAATCTTTTGAAGAACAATAAAATAGTTAAAAAACAAATCTTGAAGAAAAAAATAAAAAAAAAGACAACTGACATTCAAATAATAAATACAAAAAGAAATTTATTGTATTAACTTTAAGTTTAATTAGATTATATATTTTTAACTAACAAAAGCCAAATTCATAACTTAAGTATTACATTTAAATTAATACCCATTTTTAATTTTCTTTCAAAACAGACAATACCAAATACATTTTCAAAAGAACTTAAGCACAATTGCAAATTCATTTTAATTTAAATTGTCATTTGTTTCATTTTTTATACATGTTTTTACCTGCTTATAAACTTCTTTAAAAGAGGAGACAGAAAAAAAGTGTTTTAATAGTCAAAGTTTTCAGTATTATTAAAAAAAAAAAAAAAAAAAAAAAAAAAAAAAACCTACACTCATCCTTTTCTAATCGTGGAAAAACTGACAATAACAAAGGCTCATCCATACATTTGAAAAGGTTCAAATTGGTTACAACACTACTAATTTTTCTACAGCCAGGACAAGGAAAATGTAAAAGTTAAAAACAAATCTAAACAGAAAATGATTCCCAAAAGATTTATCAGTTTATTCAAAATTAAAACAACTGTCAATAGCATTCATATACAAAATTAAATCATAAGGATATTTTCAGTATTAGCACTTTGTACCCAGATATTTAGGACTAAAAGGAACTTGGTTAATGCCAAGTATTTGTCAGTGACAATAATTAAAATAAAAAGTACAATTGTAACTCACCGTACTTCTATGCAATTATTTCCAAGATCTTCTTCCACCCAAACTACTTCAGTCAAGGAAAATCCAGAATCAGAGTCATTTTCATAAGCCTGGAAGGGGGGGAGGGAAGAAAAAAAATGAAAGTGTGATTTAATAATTAAAAAATTACCAGATCTGACAGGATTCATATGTAAAATTTTAATTTTACACATCTGAAATATTTTTAAGAAGCAGTTTTTAATTATTTTTTGAAACTAAGATCTTGAAATCAAGAATAAAAACATTAAAACTCTAGTATGTTTCTACTTTATAGGCTAAAAAAGCTACCATATTGATCTTAAATAATCAAATTAAAAGCCAGAAAGTAAAAGGTTTTACAACATTGTAAAGATTATAAACTCCAATGTTGTTTTTACATTTGTTGAGTAAGTAATTAAGTAAGGTATTCATTTTAATTGGAATCAATTTTGAATGGCACAGAGCAAAAAGCAACCTTTGAGTATGAAAAATAGTTTCTCTACCCAAATCAGATTTTCATCTCTGATAATGCATAAAATTGACATGTTAACATTAAACTGCATTCTTCTTTGAAGAAACTTCCCTTTTCAAGATTAATCTGTTCTGTTTTCATGTTTCTGTGGTTTCAACTTTACTAAGATATTTTTATATGTTATTCATATGATCAAACAATCAAATCTAAACTTGATATAGAGAAAAACACACATAGCTTCCAAATGGAAAAAGAAATAAACACTTGAATTCTGAGATATGTTAATTCTTATTTACATTTTATTTTTATATCTTTGTAATTTATTTTGACAACGTTTGACTATTTTGGAGGCCAGGGCTAGTCATACTATAGCATATTGCTATTGGGTGATATATCAACTATAGCCGGTTTGGAATAGGTCACAAAATTACCTCAGAATGGATTTTATTTAGGTACCTCCATGAGATCGGTAAAAAAAGAGCAGAGCACAACGAAAAAGATGCCAAGCTTGACGAAAACAAAACTTTATCAGCTAAAGGTTTATGTTATTAAAAGGAAAGATCAAAGTATTTTTGTGGTATTTTTTTTTTACATTTTTTTAATTGTTCCTAGCATGTCCAAGATTTTCGTTAAAAATCTTGTTTTTTTTTTTTTTTGAGTTAGCAAAATTGACAGAAATCAAAATCATGTCAACCATTTTTTTTCTTTTTTATAAAAAAAAAAAAAAAAAAAAAAGGAAATCTCAGTTTGAAATTCTTTTAAGAATCAATTATGTTTACAAAACTTATTTTAAGAAAATCGGAAATTATAATGTTTATTTAAGATATTTTGAAACAAGCATTACTTAGTTTCTACACCGAAAAGAGGTCATAACATTTTGCATCAATTGACAGGTGATGAATGACAATTTCATCACATATTGACAGATTACATGAGGATAAGTTATTCTACGAGAAGTGAAATTATTTAGATTTAAGTGAACAAGTTATTTCCCGCATTATTTTTAAGGAAAACTTTCAGCGCTCTAATTTTTTTTTTTTTGTACTTCGCTTTACATTTATGATGCTTTATGGAAAATATATTATAAAGAAATTAAAAGAAGACTATTAAGAGTGAGATTAAATTTCATAAGAAAGGTATCCAATTAATTTATAGGTACCTTTCTTATGAAATTTTATCAGAAGTGTACATAAAATACTATAGTTTTATGTACATTTATTACATTTTACTGTGTTATTTGTATTTCCATTCATTTTATTATTAATTTTGATATTTCATTTATGGAAAAATGTCATAACTTAGATTAATATAAAAATAAGATAATATAAATTTCACATGATACTGATACTTGTAGGTACCCTTTTCAGTTGAAAAATCAAATTAACTTCTCCACACGTTTCGCAAAAGTAAAGGGTTTAACAGCAGAGAACAATGCTTAACTCAAATAACACAACTTAAGTGTATTCTGGTTGGTCTTCTGTACTTTATAATTACAGCCCTATTATAAACACAAAATTAAATTTCTTAATTACTGCGGGTCTTCTGATTAGTCAAAACGATACAATTTACAACGCGCTAAAAAAGATCTATCTCAAAAGGACATTTACGAAACTGAATGCAGCTTTTAACTAATTTTATAATATTCTAACAACTTAAATGTAAAAATCTATTATGATTAAAGAAATAACATAATTATATTAAAAATTCATTTTTCATAAAAAATTTTTTTGCTTTCAGAAAATATTGTCCATATTCATAAAAGCATTTGAAATTAAATAAGATCTTTGTTTTATTGAGTTTTGTATGTTACAATTCAGAGCTGATTTTCAGGTGGCAGGTTTCCAATAAAAAAAAAAAAAAAAAAAAACATGATTCGCTTTTCTTGTGCTAATATAATCACTTAACTGAATGCGATTGAATTTCTAGAGTTTTTATAAAATTAGTTATGGGAGGAGGGTAATATATATATATATACATATATATATATAAAAAGTACTAAAAATTTATGTTATTTTACTAGTTCCGGTGATACAAAGAGAAACAAGGTATTTTTAATCAAAATTTAGAATTAAAAGAAGGAAAAGTTTTTTAAAGTAATTAAAAAATACTTCAGTCTTTCTCTTAATAACATTTACACAATAAAATTTTGTTTCCATCAAGGTTGGCATCTTTTTCATCAGACTATGATTTTTTTTTTCCTTTTAGCAATCTCATGAAGGTACCTAAATTGAATATCTTATATATATATATATATATATATAAGAAAAAAAACAAGTAGAAAGTGTCACTAAAATTCATGGGCTATGGCTTTCAAGTCCTTAAAATAAAAATTCCAAAGACCTGAGGTAATATCTTATATAATCTTTTAATTAAAAAAAAAAAGAAAAAAAAAATAATAAAAAGAGAAAAAAAAAAGGAAAAAAAAAAAAAAGTTAAATTTAGAGACAAAAAAGAAGCAAAAATAAATAAAAAAAAAAACAAAAAACAATGATGGCGTGTAAAGAAAAGATAATAGTAATAGTTAAACAAGAGTTATCGAACCTGACTAGCGACCCACTGAGCAGTCCGATCAGGGAAAGGAAGATTGATTGCCTTTACTTTTTCTGCTGATGCCACCAAACCGAGAGCAATTTTCCTTCCGAGAACATATAAGCCATTGGAAAACTATAAAAGAAAAAAGGGATGTCATTGAAAGCATAGTACTGAGAAAAAAAAAGACTTTTTCCACATATGCATTTCTATCTCTATTATGAAAGTGATAACTCTTTAAATATTTTTCAAATAAGTTAATATTTTTAACAGTAATCTAAAGACAACTGACATAATTACATATAAACTGTCTAAAATAATGAATCTATGATCAAGTTATCCAGTGTGAAGATTCATGTCCAATTTTCATTACACGCACTTGAATCTATAATGAAAAACAAAATATGAATCTTGAAAGCATTTTAAAGATATTTTTCATCTTTATTATTTTGTGACACTATTTAGCTATGGTAATTAATTAACTATAGAAATTAAACAGAAAAGAAGATACCTTGAGATTTTTTATTTTTTTATGTTAAAAATAAGATCAAGTTACTTTTCTCAAAAACCAAGAATAGGCGTGGACTCACAAAAAGGCTATATGTGAGCATTTGACAATTGATTAATGATGTTTGTAAAAGCACTGGCTGAGAAAACACAAGAATCTGAAACAGTGTTTAAGATATCAGGCGACAAGCTAGGTATTGATTATAAAAATTTTGGCATGATAAAATATTCCGAAATTATTTGCCGATATGGGGTAGAGAGAATTACCATTATTTTTCCAAGATATCATTTTAAGTACCAGCAAGTTAAGTGGCCATGTGTTGATTATAGAATTTTGGCATGAGAAAATATCTCCGGAAGAATCGCCGATTTGAAGATAAAGAAATTTATTATCAATTTATTTTTTTTTCTCAAGAAGCCAAGGGTTCCTGTAGATGCTAACTTCATAGATAGCAGACTTTGACAATTGATTGATAATGTTTGTAAAAGTACTGGTTAATAAGACACAAAGTGACCAAGGGCATTGAAGATCTTAGAGATTTTAAGTGGCCATGTGTTATTCGTACAAATTTTGTAAACAAAAAAAATTCTAGGTTATAATTTTAATGAGGCCAGCTTAGCCACGCCTACACAGCCGGGATACCATTGGCCGAGTGGTAGCAATGGTGATAGGTGGAGGTAATTTGATGAGAAAGATGGAGAAATTATTAACACCCACTGAAAGGATTTGGTATGAGATATCAATGTGAGGAGTGGGGAGTTTGGGAGGATAACTGTCCTGCAACCTCTCCTCACGGATGAAGTGATCCCCACAAAATGGAAAGTGATTAATTTTCCAAAATGGGAAGTAATCAATTTTTCTGGCCAGATAACAAATAGGTTTCTTGTCAGAAAACTCCAGGCTGCATCTAACCCCACACCAGTTTTTGGTTGGTGTCCATATAAACGTATGCCTTTGGGCAGTTCACCAGTAGTTTTGAGAGAGTCTTTGGAGTTGCAGTTCAAGTGACAGGAACCAGAGTGTTGCCTCACAGAAGCTGACCAAGAGATTCCATGACCTGACTTCGCCTATCCTATAAATAGCAAGTTATACTGATGAATGAAGCTAAGCCAGCACTTAAAAACTAAATCAGTTGACTTAGAAGACCAGAACTTGCCTAAAGAAGCATAAAAGTGTCACTCTCCATAGAAAACTGGTTGGGAGAAAATACACACTCCTGTATATAACAGACGGATAAAAGTTGATTTGTTTTCTTTCAACATACTTGAACCTCTTGGATTTTTATTTGCTTCTTTTCTTTACGCTTGTGTGATATTACCTCCAGTCTAGACTTATCTTACACTATGGCCTGAGGCCTGATTGATCTCGTCTACCTAAGATCAAAATCACAACGTGGGTAGGTTAGGTATGAGATTGAAGTAGTTACTTCAGTAACCAGATGTTGGAAGTGAGCCGAGAACGTCGGAGCTTGTGTTGAACCGGTTGCAGCTGGTGTAGAGATGTCAGCATCGACTGACCCTTCCACTTGGTACCCTGACCAAAGGATTCTGCCAGGTAGTGACAACCACCGATCGACCAGGTCACAGGCTGGTGGCAGCAACTAAGAGTCAACCCCAAAACGCCAGTAGGAGAAATATGTTTTGTGCTGCGATTGGGAGTTGACCACGGGCTGACAGCTCAATGTCACTATATATTATATATATATAAATATAACATTCAGTTTAAATGACTATTTTATTTTTGTCAGAAAATAAAGACACGTGGAGGAAAATGGATAACAAAAATTTCTAATGATATTTAGCTAGTGATATTCACTTAAAATGGTACATCAACAGTATACTTAGTCAAAGTTCTCCTGTGACATTTTGCATTCACTTTATATTAATACTCTTAGGAAAATGCACGAATCCCTCAGCCATGAATAAATAGGGCAGTTAGAGTTCTTTTAACATTTTGGAGGTTGGGCTAACAATCTAACAAGTGTAAAAATTCACTTACTACTACAACAGTAACATTACTTGCTGTGGTTACAACTGTAGGTGCCACAAGGAGATTGCAGCAATAAATTTATAATTGGTTAATTCATTAAATATGGCAGAAATTTCTATCATTTACAACTAAGTTATAGTTTTTCAATAATAGAAATTCATGTAATATGGAGTTAAGTGGCAAATTACAGTAAAACCTTGATTTAATGTCTGTTAATTTAAGGATCCACTTGTGGATCACATGAACCATAACAAACCAAGTTTTTTATTTTTTATTTTTACTGAACAAAGTTAGATAAACACTACCATAAATTATTCATCAAGTTCTTGTTAACCTTGTTAGTTATAAAGTTAATTAAAATTGAAAAACCTTGTTAATTTCAGTTATTTTTAAAGACAATTTTCATTATAAATGACAAACTACTTGGCAACAGTGTGCATATATATATATATATATATATATATATATATATATATATATATATATATATATATATATATATATATATATATGTGTGTGTGTGTGTGTGTGTGTGTGTGTGTGTGTGAGAGTCTATCTCTCTCTAATGTGTAGCCAAGGTTGCTTATTTTAAATGACTGCATTTGAATGCTGGTTATCTAGACTTAAAGTGATGTTCATTAAGTATGATAATCTACAGATCTTGCATCTACTAATAATAATTTATAAAATTTAAGGAACTATTGGAACTCCCTTAAAAAAAATTAATACCTTACTGATCATATATGCACATGAAGTTTTTTTTTTTTTTTCATGATTTTCTATATATCTTAGTATATTGCCAGTATAATTATCTTGTCTAATAGGGGTTAATAGGTATAGACTATCAAAGAAAAAGCCATAAGCATAAAAGAGCAAGTAACTTATAGCAAATTTTTTTTTTTTTTTTTTTTAAGTAAAAATTTAGCATTAACATGATAAGTCTATGCCATACCCAAGATAAAAAGAATTATGAAAAAATTCAGTTCTACCCATCCAATAATTTTACCATTTATTTAGTCTGGACATTTATAAATCTTCAAGAAATTTAAATGTTATAGTGTGAATCAGATAAAAGAAAGCTTTATGATTATCTCAGAAGTCATAGTAAATATGGTGACCTTTTGCTACATCTAAGCTACTACACTTAGTAAATCACTATAGTAAAGATGGAAGTTTGTATGAGTAATATTGCTAATGAAGAAATAAAGGAATCTGGTCTTATCTCTTAAAATTTTAAATGTTGCCGACATTAGGAAGTATTTAAAGCTAATTCAGTACTAGATGCTCACTTATTACAAAATTTTGTACCTTTTTGAAGAAAAAGTATTAAAAAACAGTATGGATCCTGATATATTGTGCCTATGATGAATGCCAGTTCCTCCACTATTCTCTATATAGAGAATTTATATCCTTTGAATTGTTTTCATAAAGAATGCCTTCATTCACTCTAAGCAGAAGATAACTATGTTGCTGTCTATGACACAAAAGTTAACAATGGCGAAGTTATGATATTCTAAAATATTAAATTTCCCTGATACTTGAACTAATATTTGAAGTATCTAAGCTTATGATGAGACTTGAATGCTATAAGGCAAGGGCCACATTAAAAAAATTCAATTTTATTGGGCCACATAGTATATTAACCCAAAATAACTAATATTTGAAATAGAGAAAAAAAGAAAAAAAAAGCCTTTTGAAGAAGAAAATGCAATTAATTTTTATTAATTAAGATTTGAAAGTACTGTAAAAGCTTCACATGAAACACATTTATTTGAAAGACAAAGTAACTCAGTTTAAAGTACTTTAATGAAAAAAATATTAATAAGTATTTTTAAGTTGAAGATTTACATGAAACACCTTTGAACGACAAAATAACCTTAAGAAAAAAATTATTTTTATTAATTAATATTATAAAGTAGAAAACATTTGAAAAACAAATTGACTCTGCATAAAGAAATAAAAAACAATTCTTAATATTTTAAAGTAGAAACTTCAAATAAAACAAATATAAAGTAACTAAATTTAAAGAAAAAAATTAATTTAGATTTTAAAGTAGAAGCTTCACATGAAATAGATTTGTTTAAAAACAAAGTAATTCAGTTTAAAGAAAAAAAAGTTTTATTTATATTTTGAAACAGATTTATATGAAAAACAAAGTAACACAGGAACAGAAGCATCTCATTCTCAATGAATTAATGAGAATAATGTATCTGACTGCAGTCATTTACCAGTTTGTTAAAATTAGGCATCAAATTGCTTGTAACAATTATTTAGCATTGCTTGGCAACATTCTCTTTCAAATTTACTAACATTTGGCGGGCCGCAATTTGCCCACCCCTATTCTAGACCAACTTACGAAGTAAGTCTTCAAAGATAAATAACCATCTAATTCCCATTAAAAATGAATATTTCAATGCAATTCTGAAGTTTTTTTTGCATTTCTTGCATTAATGCTTTGGTTAATGTCAATGTTGTAAGAGAATAATAATTTAATGTAATTAATACAAACTACAATTTCTCTGTGACTTAAAATCTTAGATCTAACAAGTATTTATTTCACAAAACTTGACTTTTTAGTATCATATAACTAAATAAAACAAAAATATCAGTTGTAAGGTTTCTAAATATAACATACATCTGTATTTGTATTTTAATACATAAAATTTACAAATATAATGCTATCAAAGTTCTGGTTGTCTCCATTTTAATGAACTGGCAATAAAAGTTGTTAGATAACCAACTTCATTACCATTTTCAGAAAATGTTTGAAGCCTCAGCAACACAATAAAAAAACTTGAAAGCACAACTTAAAAAAAAAAAAAAAATGATTTACTAGAAAAACCCTTAGAAACATTTTTCTTAGGGTTTTTCTAGTAAATCGAAGTTTACTTTCATGTTTATTAGTAATGAAAATATGAAATTTCATTTTCAACTGAAAATTAAATAGATTCTCGACACCAGAGCAAGGGCCAAAGATCAGCCCTAAAAACACCTACCCACCTACACTTGTTTATGCATCTAAAACATAAATTGATTTTTCTTTAAATATGCAACAAAAATGCATGGAGTCATTTCGGGAAGTTTTGAAGCCACACAAAACAATAAGAAGTTAAGTGAGTAACCATGGAAGAAAGATTAGATAACACTTAAATACTCAGTTTGGAAAAAAGAAAATTAAATGATTTTCACCACAGATTTAAAAAATTAGAAAATAACCCAAATGATATCAAATACTGCAGAATTCCATACTTTATTCTCCTGCTCACAAGGGCAAATATGATACAAGTGTTTTTTAGGGGTCACTTTCACATGATAGGTGTATTTAGAACTTGCTTAGTTCCTCTATGTTTTTGTTACAGGCAGTTACTGCAATAGGAGGGGAGCATGGTCTTTAAAGTGACCAAGAATATGCAAGTCATACCATTACTACATTGTAAGATAAATAATGAATTTATTAGTTATTAGATGTGTTTTAATAATTTTCAGATCAGAAACTACAGTACTACTTTTTGAGACTAAGATAGTAAAATTGTATGTATTGCAATGAACAGTCAGAAACAATCTTATTTTAATCCAGAATAATTAGTATTTTCCTCTCAAAAATCAGTATCCTGCATGTTTAAAATCGGTTACATTTGTATAGTATAAACATCTTATGCGATTACTCACCTTATCGTACATTTATGAAGAAATCTTAAATGAAATTATACAACTACTTTCCTACTACAATATAGAAAAGTAAATGAATGCATACATCAAAAAGAAAAATGATATATAGTTATAAATATAATTTCAATGCAATTTAAGTTTACTTATAAACTGTGTAAAACATGTTTAAAAAAATAAGCCCTACATTTAAATTTTTTTTAATAACTTGTTTTTGTATTATAAATAATATCACTAGAAGTGTTGAGAATGTATTATGTACAGAAAAATCCAGCCCTGATAAGTATTTCAGTCACATAAAAAAAAAAAAAAATACCCTGGTGGAATCTATCAGGGAAAGGAGTAGAAAGGCAATGTTTGGCCACACATTTTCTAGACTTCCTTATGAGCTAGGTGATCAGCATTGATTCTAAAAAGACTTGTTAAGTCAACTCACCTGCTATCAAAAGACATCCTATTTACATTTCAGAGCCCAATGACTACCATAACTAAGTCTGCATTACATGCAGATTGTGAACCAGGGACACCCAGCTGTGTCTGTAGTCTGTCCCTGTCATTGACTACTGTATTGCCACAAGCCATAAAAACTATGCAAATGATTTTTAGAATGATAAATGGTTGCACAGACCATATTCCAATATATTGAGGCATATGAAAAATGTCCATTGGCAAAACAATTGGTTGCTGTAGCTCTGCAGGCTGGGGTTTTATCACTGTTGTAGACAGCTATTTGCCAAATCATCAAATCCATTCAGGTAATTTTTACCACAAGATGTCAGTATCTTACACATGTTCAACTTGCTTCTGCAGCATTTGGATGGCTTTCCAAACCTGTCTTCCTGAATAGAAATTAAGACCTGGTTTGATGTGGTATGCATTTCATTTCTGTTATATGGCTGAAAATTTTGGGTCCTATACAGTTTTAATTTGCAAATGCTTGAATAATTCTACATGTCCTACCTAGAAATAATTCTCAGGTAACATTAATGGAACTGCATGTTGAAATTCAGAAGTATTCATAGTCAACAACCATCAAAGCCATGTATGCTGATTGACAGCTGTGCTGATTTGGCCATGTCATCCACATGCCTGAAAACCAATTCCCACATTATGTTTTTGCCTAGTGAAAGAGCTGTTGATAGTAAAAAAAATAACACAGGGATCACATCAGTGCTATCCTGAAGACCTATAATATCTTCCCTAGCCAATTAGAAATATCAGCTGGTGATCAGACCAGTTGGTGAAGTTGTTCAAGCCACAGATGCAAAGTTGGTCTAGCAGACAAAGAAATGTCAAAGAATTCTTCCTCTACTGCCCTCCAAGGTCTTTTCAGAGAGCCTACTTGCAAAAGAGTAGGCAGTTCCCATGTTGATCTAACAGCCACACAAGAACCCATTTACCATGAAGGGTACCAGTCGACTGTCTGAAAAAACAAGCTACAATGATGATGATGTAACTTGATAAGATATTTTCAAAAGTGCTTTCTACATCCATCACTGTAAATGTCAAATTATAAAGAAGACAAAGAAAACAAAAGATTATTTAATTTTATCAATGAAATAATTAAATTTCCCAATTTTTCAAAAGCATTTTAAATTTTAACAATTTTATTTTGAACTAAAACGTGAATTTAAAGTAACAATATTTGGAAGAATATTCTCAATGTTTTTAGTTCATTATAATTGATAAAGTAGATCATATTTTTCACAAGGTGTGAAACCTTTTAAAATTTTCTTACTTTATATATACCTCTGACTCTCTTATACATATCGGCATTTCCAAATCTCATACAAATCCAATAAATCATAAAAAATAATTTTTACAGAATCTCATGTAGTTAAAAACGCCAATTATTATATTACTTTAAATGAGTTTATATAGTTTTAAAATTTCATGTACATATTTATGTGTTTACTACAGACGTGTTTAATGTAGATATTTTTAATCTTAACATCAGTATATGAAGACTTTAAAGTCGATGTTTAATGACTTCTTAAGTTAATCAGCAAATTTTGAAAAAAGGAAAATGTCGCTAAAATCTAACAATTATATTTTTTAATGAAGAATACTACATAGTTATTTTCAAAAAATTAACGAAATGGTTGATTGTGGAAAATGTTTTTAATTTCATGTATTTTTACTGAGGAAAAAAAAAAAAAAACAGTAAATGACTGACTGATGAAAATAAATTCTTCATTTTTCTATTGTTCCTTTAAATTTTAATGAATTTGAATAATTTCCTCATTTTAAAATATTTTACTTCCATAATCAACTAAAAAACTATTACAGTGTAACTTAAGTTACCAAAATCAGGATGGATAACATTTGTCAGAGATCCCATACAAATTTTACTGGCATTAGCTGTAAAAGAGACACTGAAACAGTAGGTTGTTTATTGTATTTGTCAATAACAAAAAGAACTTAAAGTAATTACTGCTATCAAATAATATATGCAAATTTACAGTCTTTTAAAAGATAAAACACAAATTAAACATTATATCTCTCACATATACACACACACTCTTGAGAAAATAATGCTCCTTACATCATTAGGCTCTTCGATACATCCCAGAATCCAACTGAAGATTAAATTTCCAATTTTATATACAACCATATCTGCAAATAGAATAAAAGCACAATAATTAAGATTTTTCAATGAAATAGATTAATTGAAACAATTGGGGCTAAAAAAAACTTTAATATTAAATCTTTTAGGTAAGGCTTATAATGATGTCTTACTTCATCACAATTCAGTAAATTTGTTTAAACACAAAACCAAGCTGAAAATAAACAGGATCTAAATATAAAAGTCAAAGCAAAATAATATTTAAGTCTTGAGAAACCCATTTTGCTGTTGAGATCTACATGACACTGTATCCTGACAAAGTATTTAGCCTTTTTTCAGACAGACCACATTTCACTAACCAAACATGCAAGTTTATTTACAATCAAATCTAATTGGCCAGACAGTTAAGAACAGATGCTACTGAATCAGCACAGGCAAGATGGAAACTTTCATATACTGATAACATTCAAAATTAGCAATTTATCTTGTGATTTTTCATTCAGAGATCAAATTTTGATAATGGCATCAACCAGATATAGATTTACAGGCCATTCTTGACTATGACAAGTTAAAATGAAGGATATAAATTTAATTCTGACGACCCAGACATGGACAGCACTAGCAAGAGGTGAAAGTGCATGTACTGTTGATGGCAATATATACTGCTATACTTACAATATATTTAGTATTTTCCAGTAACTTTATTGCTTTCAGTGTCCGTGGAATGACCCAAACTAGATATTCATGAGTAAAAATGATATACTGTATAGCCTGAGCACAATCCTACTAGGATATATATAGTATAGAGGTGAACTTGTGTGAAGGGCTTAATAATTGGTTTTAATTTGAGTTACTTTAAAACTGGTAAAAAATTAGAAATAAAACTTAATCTGGACAGAGTTATCACCTCTATTTTAACAATCATCTCAAGCCCCCAAATCAGCAGAATAAATCATGACAATTAAGTAGGTGTACCTCCACAGAAAATGTGATACCTAAGGTTTAAAATGAATTTTTAAAAATGAAAAATCTTTCTTGAGACTTTTATTTTTAGTTTCAAAGTAATAGACTAAATTTAATATTTCCAATAAGCAAAATACTTTGCCGTATTTCAAAAACTAATTTAAATTGACTGGGAATATTTTTGGCTATTTTTTTTTTGCTAAAATAACTGATTAACACCCACCCCACTTCTTTTAGTAGTCTTTCATCACAATGTAATTCTCTTTATTAAAAATCTCCCAAAAATAAAATATACTTTTCTGAAACTTCATTTGATTTAAAGTATAATTAATCCACTTTAAAATGCATATTTACTTATTTAAGTTTAAAATATCACAGAAATGCATTTATTTTTTATTTTTTTATAAACACAGTGATGTCCTTAATACATCTTATTTATAAAAGCAATTAAAAGCTTTTCTAATTAAATAATTAGATAGTTTTATTTCATTTTTTTTATTTTACAATTCAGAGCAATTTTTTGGTAAATGAAGTTTCTATTTGACAAAAACAAATTGATTTAAATTCTCCAAGAAATTCTGCTTTTAACTAATATAAATATGAAGAGTGTGGAATTTTATTTTATCAAAATTTCATAAAAATAAGTGAGGGTAAAGATGTAACAAAAAATACTCTTACCAATATTTAAAATAAAAATTTCCAAAATAATTTCATTTATTTGTAAATAAATCCTGAAAATTTAATTAAACTGACAATTATTTGATTTTTTTTTTAAATTTCCAAAAGAATGAGTTTTTTTTTTTTTTTTTATTACACCACAAAAAAAGATGCTAATTTCCCATACTAATCATTAATTTGGCCCACCTGCTGACAAGAAAAACAAGATTTTAACTAAAATTTTCCAAGTGCAAGAAAGTATACAAAAATTTAAAATAATCAAAAAAATACTTTGGTTTTTCCTCTTAATAACAAACATTTTGACAATAGAACTTTGCTTTTATCAAATTTCGGAGGTACCTACAATTATGTTATAAATTATGCTATTCAATCTTATTCTTTTGTTTAATGAGTTCAAAGTAAATGTTTGCTAGATACTGTTTCTGTAAACATAGCTGTTACTTACAAGAGTATATTTTTGATATTTCCATTTAGATTTGTTACAAAATCAACTTGTTTAAATAAATTGTTTTGAAAGTTAACTGAAAATAAAATAAAAACAAATTTTATTGCATTTTCTCATGTTTTTTAATTTCTTTATTTGGATAAAATAAAGAAACTATACCAAGTCAAATTTTATTATGCAATTTAATGGTTTCATAATCAAATTTGTATTAACCAACTGTTGATTTAGCATATATTTATATGGACAATATATCATGTGAATTTCAGATTAAAATTATCCTTATTTGAAATATACATAACTTATTAGGGGGATGCTATGTTTTTATGTAAGCAAAGAAAGTGCAAATTTTTACTTACAAATCCAAAAAATAAAAGCCATAGAAACATTTTGGGTTAATACAATATACCTAAATAAATTGAAATTTTATTATTTTACATGCTAATATGGGCTCCTTTATAACCTTCATCAGTCTATCAATTAATGATTTTATTAAGTTTTCTATTGTTTTGACTAACACTTTTTACTGTATTTTTTTATTGCTTCTCAGATATGTGCCTAAACCATTTTTCTTTTTTTTTACATTACTACAGCTTTTTTATTGATGATCTTGAGAGACTGATCAGTTATGTGCCATGTGTAATACACGCTTAGGCAATCATGTATCTTTCAATACATGACTGACGAGGCAGATTTTTTCCTGCAGTAGGTTGCCATCCAAGGCTACAGAACCCATTCTGTCCTGCTATTTACCCATAGCTGTTGTAGAAGAGGAGGATTCATACCTTTCCCAATCCTAAATGAATAATGGCTCGGATTGAAGAATTGGAGAGCATGTAAGTGAATGTAATAGATTTGACTGAAATCCAACTCAGCTCTCCAATTCTTCAATCCGAGCCGTTATTCATTATGCCACTGTGCCTACTTGGAGAGTGATAGCCATTCTATTAATTAACTGTTTTTGAAACTTCATTTGGCATGGTGAGCAATATTCAGCTGTGCAGAATGTGACGAAACATTGTTTTGCATTAATATACTCTTTAGTTTAAATCTTTTCATTGTGACTTGTACCACTCAAGAAATGCTGTGCATTTATCTTGATACAATCATCAACTTTGAAGGAAACTGTTGTCTTTTGAGTTGTTTGATTATTTCCATGAAGAATACACTTCCGACTCAGTCATTAGGTTTATCCAATGTAATTAAATTCATCATAAAAAATTACTGGTAAGAATTCAGTTTTCTTGTACTTCAAACTTACACATTTCTGTTTGTGAGGTTTACCCAAAGGTACTGTCTGACTGCTTTCATGTCTTTAAGTAAATGTTTTAATATTCTTTTCACTGTTTATATTTTCAATGCCAGCTTCTTTAAATGTTTTCTTGCTGGCCAATCCATTGTTTCTTGCTTATTACTCTTTTTTTTCAAATCTCTTTTTAGGATATCCTTTCAGGTTGGTCTCCTTGTTTAAGAGACAGGTACTTAACATAACTTTTTATCAGAAGGATTCTTAAATGACTTCAGAATTAAATATATGAAACATTTTATTTTGAAAAAAAAAATATTTTTATATAAACAATTGTTTATATAAAAATATATTTTTATATTTTATTTGTATATTATATACATATTTAAAGCATTTTTAATCTTTAAAAATTACAAATAGTATCCTAATAATGTTCACCTGTATATGGTAGTTGTCTGTGCCACACCATGCATGAACTGTACACATGATCTTTGATCAGATTTCTTAGAGGATTTTGTTTTAACATAAAATATGTATTCATACATGAAGATTAAAGGTTTTATGTCTATATTTCTTTTTTTTTTTTAAGATTTAATAGATTTTATACAAGCTTTGTATTAAAGCTGTTTACTATTAATTTTGACAAACAGGAATTTCAATCACTTTTACAAAGGGAGAAAATATGAAAAACATACTTGCAAGGTTTTAACTACATATGCTAGAAATTTTGAAATAAAAAAAAAAAAAAATTTTTAGTTGAGTTATATTGCATAGAATTTTCTTTCATGGGTTAATGCTTTAAGTATTTTTCTCTCTCTTTCCATTTTAGCAAAATAGTATTTTAAGGCTTTACAAAACTGCAAATCTTCAATGCAGGCATGAATAACATTACTAACTCAAACTGTAATACTAGTTGTAACTGTGTATATAGGTATAATGCATGTATTCAACATTCTAATAAAATATTTTTAATATACTACAACAGTATTGAAATTGGGACTAATAATTGCTTTATTTTTTCATTTTGTATAAAATTTAGTGAAGCTTAAAAGGTAAAAGATGTATTCAATAAGTTTCCACAACCAGGAATCATATTGATACAATAAAGAAAGATGGTGGATGTAGCGACAGTCTCCAAATATCAATACTTATTAAGTCCTCAAGAATTTCTATTTTTCAAGTCTAAAAATCATTTTCATGTCATATTTTTCAAATCTAAAATTTATAGAAAATGAAATTGATTAATAAATGTGATTGAATCTAAACAATTTTTTGTCAACACTTAATTTTCAGAAAATACTGAATAATATTATTATTTGATTTTACAGATCATTAAATTTAAAAACATTTAAACTGATTGTTTTTATTTGGACATTTATTAAATAAATTTAGGTTCAGTTTTCAACAATACAAAAATAGTGAAGAAAAAATGGGAATTCTTATTATTATACATAGAAAATAGATCTTTTTTAGACTTTGTCACTTTTTGATGAGACAGGTAAAAAAATAAAGCTGGAATTTCAGACATAAAAACAATTTCTCTATTACAATTGAATACTGTTACAAACTTTGAAATTACATGTGCATCAGACAAATTAAACAGTTAAATTTAAAATACATTTTCAACTAAAAAATAAAATATTTTTCATGGGCTTGGCAATATTTTCCGAATTTGGCTACTTCAAGACTGTGGAGTCTTGAAGTAGCAAGAGGAAAGGCATAGAACAGCCAAAGACGGAAATATTACAGAGAACAAAATTTGTACGTCTCAAAATCAAAAGCAAATAAAAACGTAAGATTCGAAAATGAAAATGGTATAATATTCATTTAATAAAAACTAAAAGAAAACAAATGTAATTTTTGTACTTACTTAACAAGAGAAAAGTCAAATTTTCAATGATCATTCAATTCAATCAAAGACACTAAACTGCAAGGCTCTGCAATCGACCACTCAGTGCATATTTATTTTTAGCATATGATCTATAAACAAACAAAAATTAAATATTTATTTATACATTATGCTAGGATAATAATAATTTTTTAAACTGAAAGTCACGGTTTCATCATATCCTCTGGGAATATATTTTTAAAATGCTTACAAAAAAAAAAAAAAAAAAAAAAATTGGTTTAGTTTCCTTCCAAGAGAGGTCATAACTAAAAAAACTGCTAACTAAAAATTCTGAAGCACTAAAGAAAAAATAAATAAAGGATTCTTTTTTTCTTTTAAGGAAAACAGTATTTTTATTTTTAGTACTGAATAGTGATTGTGTTTTGTGATAAAAAAATTCAGTATGACATTAATGATTTTTCTTCTTTTTTTTTTTTAAAAGAAAAAAGTTTTAATATGGTCAACAATATTCAATTTCGAAAAAAAAAAAAAAATGTAGATTATCATCATTAAATAAATTAATTAAATAAAGTAGTGCTTTTTTTGACAAATTGTCAATAAAAAACATGTTGATTTTTTTAGTAATACCGATTTGCAACAAGTTTTTTTTTTTTTTTTTTTTTTGCTACATTAAAATGTGGGAGGTTTAATTTTTGAAGAATTAATATTTTCATCAATTGTCAATATTATCAAATATTAGGAAATTCAAAAATATTTACAATATTACCTGGCTTCATATTCCAAGTACTCCTCTTTCATTTGTTGACAAGAGAGTATGGATTCAATTAAGTTAAGTATTTTGTATCTGTGTGTTCGCTTACTTAATGAAAAACCTAGGACTATAGCCGAAATGTTCGCTTAGAATACACATCTACAAATGACTCAACGGAAAATTATAATTTCGTAACATTTAAATTTATTTTCAACTTGCAAACATTTATTATAAAATTACACTTTAATTTGGTGCCTCGTTACACATTCAAATCAGAATTTTAATGGGTAAAAAATAGAGCAACAGAAATTTTAGATACAATCATCGTTATTCAAAAAAACTTAGTAAGATACTTTATTTTTGAAGAACATAAGAAGATCTCGCTAAAAATAAAATTTTCTGTTACTAAAAATTGAAATTCAAAGAATGAAAATTAAGAAGAATAACACGAGTTTCCAGTTAAAAAACAACAAATAGGGAAACTTCTGACTTACTTTCGTTTGTGTTGACGGTTTAAGTGACAAAAATATTTCTTACAACTTCGTGAAAATCAAACTGTATATTCAAAAGTTAATATTCAGTCCGCGATATATTTTCAAACACATGAAGATATCGAAAATTACTTTACCCAACAAAAATTAAAAGAAAAGAAAGGGATTTAGTTTTTAAATTAGCGCTTGATAGTGCCGAAAGCATCTGGCCAATAAAAAATGAGTTTGTAAAAGTAGAATAAAAAAATAACCAATGAACTAGAGTGTTACATAATTAATCAACTTCTAAAGTGGATGACGAATCAAAACGATAATAAAACGGAAGGCAGGAAATTCAAGTTATGACCAACTTTAGAAGTTGTTGATTTTTCTGTTGTGGGAAAAATTCAAATTGGAATATTAATTGCGTTACGTATTTACACCTGGCCGTTTTTGCTTTTTATATTGGTAAGTAAGTATACTAAACAAGCTTTCAATCAGCGTAACCTTTTCTTTTTTACATGATGTGTTTTTGTCTAAGACGACCGTGTACTAAAACTTTTACGATCCAGTTTTCTGTTTTATTTAACTGTTAAACTTTTTTTTTTTTTTTTTTAAGTGGACTAAACATCAATTTTTAAGGTAAAAAGTACAATGAAAGACTAAGACAAGCGTGTTTGAGTTTATAAACTAATTTTCAAAACTTCTACTACCCACATTATAAAATTTACTAAACAGATTCGTCTAAAAAAAAATAAAGTCCAAACTAGGACAATGTTATGGTTGCTAAAAACAAGTTGTTTTTTTTTTTGTTTTTTTATCTTTAGTAAACATAGCAATTGTCTTAGTTTTGGCTTTACTTTGTGTTCGCATTAAATCATGTTCACATTCTGCTTTTGGTTGGAGAAGTGTTTAAACCCAAACAAAATGTGCCCATACCACGTGATTTCTTAAAAAAATGTAAAAAAAAAAAAAAAAATTTAATTCCTGATTTGAGTGGGTTTTCCTTTTTATTTGCGCTATCCAAATTAGAAATTTTATTTAAGGCAAGAAAGAAAACGTTATGCCAACGCCATTCGTTCCTTGTAATGTTGAGTAACTTTATCGGCGTAGATACCTCCATTTGATGACCCATAAAAAAGGAGCCTACCATGATGAAAAAACATGCCCCAAACTTGACAAAAAAAAAAGGTTTCATCGTCAAAATTAGAAAATACAAGAGGATTTTTTCCTATTGTGAAATATATTGTTTCATCCTTTTTAGAACGTTCGAAATTTTTGGTTAATTATTTTATTTTTTTCGTCAGTCCAATGTTCAAGGAAATTTTGGAGTAAAATTGCAGATTAGGAGCCAATTTAACAAGGAAGCCAGTTGCCTTTTTTTTTTTTTTTTTTTTTTTAAAAAAAAAAAAAAAAGCATCATTTCTTTCTGATGTAAGAAAAAAAGTCTAAATATTCCAAAAACCGCATTAAAAATTTGCGGAAACCTACCGTTTTTAAGAGATTGACAATCTTAGTTGGGTCTAAATTTGTCTACAGACATTTGATCTTTTTTTTTTTTTTTTCCCGTAAAAGTTGAGGTACAAGCATTATTATTACAAAAAAAAAAAAAAAAGCAGTAAAACTTGCGGAAAGTCCACCTTTTTAGTAGGGTATTTGAGAATCTTATTTGGGCCCCAGGTACAGCTTGGCCGTCTCGGTCAGGAATTTGGGAATGTGCTCAGATGTCTTTTTTTTTTTTTTTCTTAAATTACCCAGTAAATGGGTAATTTTTGCGCAGTAATCTAGTCCCGTAAGGGCGGTCGTGCTGTACCCAGCACCCAAGTAAGATTGCGGTAGATTTCCGCAGATTCAATGCTATTTTTTGGAATAATCTGTTGTTTGTTTGTTTGTGTGTTGTTGTTTGTTTGTTTGTGTGTTGTTGTTTTTGTTTTTTTTTTTTTTTTTTTTTAGCAAAATTACTAAAAAAAAAAAAAAAAAAAACCAGCAATTTTTTAAACATTTTGTAAACTAAGTTAAATAAAATTCATAAAAGTAAAACTCGTCCAAAAATCAATTTACGTTTTTCAAAATTTAATTGAAGAAAATTAGAAAATATAAAGTTTCTTTAAATATATTGTGAAAGAAACTTTTACCTACTTTCTTCCCAGAAAAAATTTTTTTTTGTTTTTAAATAAAAGGGAGCCGATCTTACTTAACTTCATTTGCGATTGACAAGTGCTGCATGATGATATTCATCACGTATTGACAGCTAAAACATGACATTCCCGTTATCATACGGAAGGACAGAATTGACATTTTTAAGTGAACCATAATCATTAAAGTAAAAAATTTCAGCATTCAAATTTTTTTTTAATTTGTCTTTTTTAGCATGTAGCTTTCACCATAAGTCTGAATTTTTTTTTTTATAGTATTTATAATTTCTCGAGATAGTATCATTTTGATACATCTCGAGAAATTATAAATGGAAAAACTTGGTACAATTCATGGAACGCCATTATTTTAAAAAATTTTTTTTTTTTTTTTTTTTTTTTTTTTTTTTTTTTTTTTTTGTCTGTATCAATATGTGCTGATTTTTGGAAATACAAACATCCATATACGATAATTATCAGAAAATAAGAGCAATAGTAAATTTAAGCTAAAAAGCCAAAGTAGCTAAAATTCAATAAAACATATTACGGAGAATATTTTCCTGAATTTTCAAGATTACTGGGTAGTTAAAAAAATTTTTATAAAAAAAATATACTCCTTTATATTCCTCAGGTTTTACAGATATATCCACTGTAGAAAAACATTAAGCTTTCTTCTGTCATAGAAGCTGTCAACAACTACAAATTAAGCTACCACCATATTAACAAAATGCATTTCTGTGATATTTTAAACTTGAAGTAATATTTGTTTCAAATCAGATTAATAATTAAACTTTAAGTCGATTAATATTCCTCAAATAAAGTTTCAGAAAAGTATATTTTATTTTTTGAAAGAGAATTACATTGCGATGTCAGGTGGTGAAAAATGGTGTGAATCTCAAAAAAAAAAAAATCTTATCCTATCAAGATATTAATTAAAATTTAAGAATTGAGTCCTTAGGATTTTTTATTAATTCATGAAAAACATAAGAACCGAGATTTGCATCTTGAAGAGAAAGAAAAACAACACTTTTTGAATTAAAAATGAAACTACCATAACAATCAAAATGTTCCCTTGAATCAGCAAAAATCCCATTTCTGATTGACAGAAAACTAATGTAAACAAATAAAAACCTATTAAAATAATTGTAACATCAAAACAATTTTATGTGAAATAGTTACTTTAATTGATTTTAACTATATCGTCAAAATTCCAAAGTTAAAAAAATAGATATGGGCTGCATCAGTTAGTATCAGTCAAAAGTCAATTTGGATGGGTGAATTTGTAGGTTGATAAATTCCTGTTGACAGCTCTTGACTGAATTGGTTCTGTTTGCAAGTATGGTGGCCTGTAATAATTAAAAAAAAAAAAAAAAAAAATTTTTTTTTTTTTTTTTTTTGTAAACTGATGCTCTAATTTTTTTGTTAAAATCATGATTTTTTTTTTTTTAATAGGACAATCATTACTTTTAAAAAGTTAATTCTTGAACATATTCTTTCACATGTTGATTATAAAAGAATGTAAGAAAAACTCGGATACATTTAATATTTTAAAAAGTGTAAAACTCAATGAGATCTACCCAAGGTGATTATAAGTATTTGTCTTGGATCTGCCAATATACACAGTTGGAAATCATCAAATTAAAAAAGCAGGAGTGCAATCACATGAAAAGAAACTTAACCTGACCAGAATTAGTTTTCATTC